ACTCAATCCCGTAATAGCTTTACCCCTAAGATTAGCATCCCGAGAATGCGCGGGTCCCAGGTGAGATCTCACTATAAGTGCATTGGCCAAAATATTCATTTCTTAAATCCCGGGAAAAGGATCGAAAATTCAGACTGTTACACCGGCCACCGTCCCAGCCTGTCCGTACAGTGCCCGTACGGGGTGGTACTCTTCACCGCGTCCGTACGGTATCACTGTTCATGCCGTCCGTGCGTCGCTGCGGCGACGCTCCTCCCGCTGCTTCTCTGTCCCGCCCGTTCCAGCCCCGTTCGTCTCGCCTTTTTGGGTAAGTGTCTCCCCCAAAAACTACCTAGGAGCTCGGGTATTTCTAGACTCGTTTAGGACCCGATTTAGTCGATTTTGTGACTGTTTTAGGGGCTGTTCGGGATTGATTTGAGTGACTGATTATTTGGTGGTTGCGAACTGATTAGGCGAAGAATTTTGAGGTTTAGGGAGCTTGGATTAGGGCTGTGATGTTGAGGTTTAATCGGAATTAATTTGTGCGGTTAATTATTGGAATTGTGCCTTGAATGGAAATTTGTGCGTGATTGTGCGATTTGTGGTAGTTGACTGATTTGGGATTGTGTTTCGGGTTGTGTACGTGTGGTCGTATATGTCACGTGTGTGGCCGTGAGGTGTGATGGTGTGGCAGTGCGATTGCGCAATATGTTCGCGTGCCAAGAATGTGTGATTGTGCTTTGGGATCGCGTGTTATATGTGCATGATTGTGTGGTGTACTTGCGTGGTGAGAATGTATATTTGCGAAGTGTATGTGACTTGTGAATTGTGCGTGCAATGTGGAATTGTGTTGGGTCGTGTGGTTGTTGGCCGTGTGTAAGTGTGGTTTGAGTGGAACGAGGATATGGAAATGTGGTTTGGTTGGAAAGATCCGTCCTGAGGCGTGTACGTTTACGCGGGACGATGCCGTCCCTGATGAGGTGACGATGCCCGGCCCGACGGGGTGACGATGCCTGACGAGGTCAGAAGAACGTTGGCCTGATGCGTTTTACGCGGGCGCGGTAGTGGTGGAAAGGTTGAAAATGAGTGGGATTTGGCAAGACAAGCGAGAGGATTGTGGAAAGTGACGCGTGGTGTGAGTAGGGTACGAGTGTGTTTGTATCGCGTGATGTGATGCTTAATTATGGGGTAGAAACTGCGAGGCACGGTATGGGACGTGCCCAAGTGGTTTCTGTCTTATAATTAAGGCACGCGCGCGTCTGTGATTCCTTGCTATGATGTGTTGGCTGTGTTATTGTCTAACGTGCAGGAACGTGCGTGATGGATTCCAGGTAGGGTCGCATGTGATTGTTAGTTTGGCCGATCGTTGTGTGTTATGTGTGTTTTTCGTCTGGCGGTACGTGAGTACCTACGTGGGGTTTGGGGTTGTACACTTATTAAGATTCGTCTCACGGTTGTATAACCGCCACTTTCAAACCCCCGGCCCTAAACCCGGGAAGTGCGCCTTTTCTTTTTGGAAGTTCGGGGAGCTGATTTTGGTGCCCAGTGGAGTTGCAGGTGAATGTCCGGAGGCTCAGACCCGAAGATTCAGAAGCAGACTGGAGGAGGGCGATCCTTAGGTTTTTCCTTAAGGTTTTGGGGGTTGTGTAAATCGGGTTGACCCATAGGGAAGTTAAGTTAACCAGACCCTGATATTTTGTTGACGGTGATTTCGGATGCTAGTTTGTTAATTATACCTGTAATATGATGTTTGTATATTTGGTGCTGTATGAAGATGTTGTTTGATAATTATGGTGGTCTACCCCGTCGTCGTCATCTTTCTGTCCGGGGTTTTGTTATTCGCTTCCGCATGTGGCTCTGATGTTTGGGTTGGGTCGTCGACGTTCTTGGGACGTCGCATCATTTCGACCGGAGCAGGGGATGTCGCGAGCTCGTTGGGGTTCGGGGCGTGACACGTTGGGTCGGCGACGCTTCCTGGGACGTCGCACACAAACAAATCGACCTTTGCGTGGAATGTTACGCTTCGTGGGGTACGGGGCTTGACAAATAGTACCGATAAAATAGTGAACAACGCCAAGACTTGCATTCCAAGAATGCCACTTTCCAAAGGACCATTCGACGTGCCTTGGATAAAGACCTTTGGAAATACAATTGCATTTCCCCAAAGTTTTCCAAAAAACTTACCATATGCCATTTGCATTTGCTCAAAAACTTTGGGACCCCAAAGCCCTTTGCAAATGTTGAACCAAACGCACCTTCAACCCATTAAAACCTCATTATTTCTTAAACTATCTCACATTTTGGTATACATATAAATTTGGGAAGAAGATGAAAGTGAGGCAAAACTCGATTTTGGCTTAATAATATAGAAGATGCATCAAAATTCCGTAAAAAAGAAATTGAATCATCCAATAGTCGAGCTAATGGGATATTTAAAGGCTTCAGTTGATCCTATCCAAATTCTTTACATTAGTTACAAGCTTGGGGTGAATGTAATTGCAACAAACATGTATTGGGACCTATTCGGCAAAAGCCATAGAAAAAGCAAAGAAAGATAAATGAAAGGTAGAGTCACCCAAAATTGGAATTGGTCATGAAAGAATAGCAAATGAACCCTCATTCCAAATCCGTCATATTAATTGCTGAAAACATGTCACAGCCAAGCAAGTATTAGGAGAACTTCATAGAATTGCTTAAGCGATAAACATTTTCATCTTCCTTGCATAAGACTTGGATTGCAATTACCACGCTAATACCTTCTTTTAGGATAATTTCTATGAGTACACAATTGGAATGTGGTATATACTCTCCATCATAGGAAGGCACAAGGGTCCTGTTCCGAGAGGTTGTCTTGGCGAGAGTCTTAGGGGGCAGCGCCCCCACGATGCCAGAGAGCTTTTATAGTTTGATACCTATATATATTCTCTTTCTCTTATAATTGAGAGTGCTGTAATAGAGAGGTGCGGTATGCTAGTTATAGTGGAGTAATCTATTGGATGTAGCTTTAATTTAAGGGTGAATGAAGCTAAAACCTTATGTCTCGATTTCCTTTTCTCAATTTTATTTTCTATTTCGTTGTGTTTATGTCCCCAATCCTAACACACACATCATATCTATATGTCTCCCATAATATCTTATGCATATAACCCGAGTAGCCACTACATTCATTGAAAATTAGTAAAGTGCTCAATAGAGTGACCACACCCCATTATTGGCTGAAAAACAAGTATTAGTTATTTTTTATTGTTGACCTTTTCCTCCTCTATGAGTACTTACAATTATCAATATCCTTAAGGGCGTTTTAATGTATTATTGTCATAATCAGCCAGTTAGTTGGGCTAGTGTCAATTTCAATACTTCTTTTTCTATATGAAATATGATTGATTTGATTTGTTTAAACTAGTAAATGAAATCCTCATATTTACTCATGTCGAGAGAGGAATAACTTGAGAGCAAAGACGAAGAGAAAGAAATAAGCGATTTGGTGCTAAATCATCTCTTAACCTCCATATTGAGTGGTAAAATATAAATAAGATTCATTTTATGGAATTACATTATCAAAATTAACAGACAAAAATCACTATCTTTCCAATATGAAGAAAAGAGAGGCTACTCCGACTTGATAAGCTTGCTAGTCGAGGTAGGTTAAAGTGTCGTTCCCTGCAATCTACATGGTGGATGAGAGGGGTCATCTCTTCTTTAAATGCAAGTTCCCTTCCTTGCTGTTCAAACTCTTTTGATATGCTATGCATATCGCTAGTGCGATTATCAGATACTTGAATGGTTGTAAGTCTGTCAAAGCTAAATCCAATCGGGTCATTAATAGCTCCGTGAAATAGTTTAGTAGTTCGGATCTAGAATGCTCTATGTTTTTAGCCCCGATATGTTTGTAAATAGGTCGAATACTGTGGGGGATTCATGAGCTGTGTCTCGTATTATACAACTTCCCGATCAACAATGATGATGAATTATAAATAGAACATAAAGAAATGATAAGCTAAAGGAAACATCTGCATTCATTCATCAATAAATTCTCATGGTAATAATTTCGAGTACTCCTAGTGCACCTAGTGCTCATCCACCTATTAAGAGAAACTTATAACTGGATTTTAGGGTTGCACAGTCGTTTTCCGTCGGCTTTAGAAATGACTTTGTATCTCTAAAGGCTATTGGGCAAATGCTAAGAAATTTACCAATTTTTTTGAGAGACCTTGTGGGACTCGCATTGAATTTTTTAAAGTCCTCCAAATGCCCTTAACCCAAAAAAAGTCCTACCCAGTTTAGGGCTTTCATCATTCCCATAACGATAATGCATTTTCTTTCTTGCAACTTTATGCTCGCTAAATTTTCAAAATTTTGGTTTTACCATCACCATTGTTCATTATGCAACCTCGTGCAACGATACCGGCGAGCTCGGATCTGATTGCCGATGAGGCCTGCCTAAGAGCTGCTTGCTCGACGGGGGTCGCGTGAACTCGTGTCGCCTTAGCATGAGGTAGTGCGACCTCAAATGACCGTTGTCGGTGCTAAATCTAGCTCACTAAAGTTTGATAATCGCGAGTATATTTTCTTTCCTTTTTATTTATTTATTTAAAATGTATACATAAAGTTGATTCTCGAAATACTTTTTTATTACATTTTACCAAATATTGATGACATTTTTAAAAAAACCAACTTGACCTAAAATCTTTATATTTTTTCCGAATCAAACGAAGAGAGCTCGTACTATTGGCCCAAATAAAATAAAAAAAAAGTGCAGGTCCACAAACTTTAAGTGAGAGATAATTTTTCCCACTTGTCGACGTCCCACTGGTTAACTGGCACGTCATGGTACGATGATGTCGACAATTCCCTTTTTTCTCGTACCATCTTTTTCCCTTGTTTTTTTTTACCGTTTCGTATTTGGGTGCTCTCTCTTTCGCATGTCCCCACAGGCCACGGCTACACCTAACAGCTGAAGCCCGCTGCAAAATATAACTTCTCTCGAAAAAACAAAATATCTTCTCCCTCTCTCTCTCTCTCTCTCTCTCCCTCTCTCTCTGTATCTCTATCTTTACTTTATTTTTCTTAATTTTGCCAAAAAAAGATAACCCATCTGCTTCTTTGAATCTTCTTTACCAAATCAACCATGCCGTTTCGGTCGAACTAGAATACTTCGTTTTCCTCCTTCTTTCTTTCCTTTTTTGTTTGTATTTCCTTTTTATGGATGGGTACATCACACCATATATATTTTCCCTGACTCACTGACTAGAACATCGTTGAATTTGGAATCCTTTTATGTTTGTGGCCACAAAATAGTTAGAGAGATCTATCAACTGCCAGTAGATCCTTTGCGTTGATTCTACTTTCTTTGTTTTCTTGTCTTGGCCCTCTCATCCCTCTCTAGGGTTTCTGATTTTGTGACAAAGAGAAGAGAATACGCTGGGCAAATCTATAATTCTCCGACCATTGACTTTGTCAAGTCTCTATCCTGTGGTTTTCGCTTGTGTTCGAATGATGATATAGTCCATTTCTGTTTGATCAAAAAGTGTGATTAGTGTTGCAGTGTTTTTAGCTTCTCAAGTACTTCGGTCTAGTCAATAGGAGGAGGATAAAAAGATAAATCTTCAGCTGGTTGAAGCTGCACAAAGTCCCTGGTGAGTTGTGGTTTTTCATCGTTTAGGTATACTAGTCAAGTTTATCGCTATGTTTGAGTTTTTGTCACTCTAGGGTTGGTAACCATTATGTATGTAGGGAGAATTTAATCATGGCTAGAGGAAAAATTCAGATGAGGCGAATTGAGAACGCAACGAGCCGGCAGGTCACCTTCTCGAAGCGCCGGACCGGGCTGCTGAAGAAAGCTCACGAGCTCTCGGTCCTCTGCGATGCTGAAGTTGCCCTGATCATCTTTTCGCAGAAAGGAAAGCTTTATGAGTTCTCGAGCAATTCCGAGTAATGTTCCTCTACTGGTTTTTCGATTTCTCGAGTTGATTTTAGATGGCGAACATGATTGAGCCTTGTTAACATTCTTATATCCAAAATGAGGGCTTGTGCACATATATGTGCTGTGTGTTTTTAAAGTGTAAATAAGGGACAGCATCATGGCATGGGTTTTTTCTTATCCTCCTTTTCTTTTCTATCATTTTTTGTTTTGGTCAAACGTGTAGTGCTTTCCCCTTCGATCATGGACTGAACTCACCATGATGACCAGTATAGTTCTTATTTCCAGACAATTTCAAACAATATATGACTTCTGTTCAAATATCCTAATCGAAAGTAGCCGAGATAAAATCTATATTATCGCTTTTTTTTTATAGTCAATGTACTGAGGTATACCCTAAACAAATGGCTAGATGTGGGGATTTGATGATCAAAAGCACTCATCGTGTACGCTTTTGCATTGGAGCTGGACTCTCTCTTTCTTAATGGTCCTTCTGAGAAATCTAATTGTTGAATATCTTGCAAGTACTGTTCTCCTCCAGCTACTTCACATGTTAGGATAATTAGTTCTTTGTCTTGGGGAATGAAACATTATTTGATTTTCGAGAAACTAGGGACTGATATTGTTTGGTCCTTCTGGTTTTGACAAGTAACAATTAAGCCTTCACCCCAATTCCACATTGATATGAAATGAACATGCTGTATAGTGTTACTTCTTGAAGTGTTATAGGTTTTAAGGCTACTTCTAGGGATTGATCTCCATTAACTAATGCTTGGGGCATGATGATAGTAAGCGTATACGAGGTTAGGTATTATTCTATTCGAAGTAGATCTTTTTCTGACAAATTTGATTGCTTGGAAAATTGTTGAAGAAAACCAAACTTCATTTGAAAAGGGTGAAGCCTTCAAATGATACCTTGTTTGATTCAGTTTGTTGTAATTATACCACTTGGACATGAACTAAGCATATCTTATGGACCCTATCGGATAATGGTTATCTTACAAATCATACAAATCCGTGTTTCAAGTTTATGACCATGCCACAAGGCAAAAACTAGAAATTTCGTATGAAACACATTATATTAGTCCGGAAATCGAATAATGTGTTATCTATCTACCGCCATAATCAAGAAACATTCCTAATGTAACATAAAGGATTTTGTTGGTATATTGGCTGCTTTGTGGTTCATTGAAATCGAAACTTAAAGCATAATCAATCTCTTTTCCAAATTAAACAAAACCTGCAAAAGATTTTCAAGTTGATTTATTAATGGTACTTTAACCCTTAACAAAAGCCTGTGAAACCAGTCCTGACATCTTCAACTACATGTACTGTTGGTTATATGGTGCTTTGAAAGGTGAATAAGATTATGGGCTTGACCAGATTTGTGCAGTGGTGATTTTATGGGATCGAGTGCATTCACTAGTGTAATAGACTAAGGCTAACACGACACATCACACTGATCTCTTGGATTTTTTATTCATATATTATTTATTGCAAAAAGTGGCTGCAATCGTACATGTTTGCCAATTTAGTTGCTCCACCAAGTAAGTAATCACTATTCTTCATTTACCGGGAAAAAAGAGGTACCTTAAGTCACAAGTTAAATGTAGGTGCAACTGTTTGCTCTTATAATTCCTCCGAGAAGTGGTAAGTCCTTGTACTGCTTCACAATGCAACTGATGATTTTACATGCATCATGTGCTGTTCTTACTTCTTACTGACATGGAGTGGCATGTTGAATTCTGAAGCCATTGAGGTTGGGCAAAAAACATCGAGTTTATTCACTGTGCGTTCACGTGCTTATATACTTCGCTAGCACACATAATATACTTTTATAGTGTGAATGTGGACATTTACATGCTACTATTTGAAGAAAATATTGCTGGTATGATTATTTACGTAGTATAAGGTGACAGCCAAGATTTTCCAAGTTCTTCATTTTGTTGCAAGTTGCATAGAGGCTTAAAGCTTCTTGAGGAGGCATATGCCTCTTCCATATTCTATATGCGAGTGACAAGGATAAATATTCACGGGAAGTCATGCATGATTCCCAAGAATGATCGTTGATTTGTTTAATGTTCACTTACTTTGAATTAATGATACCTGATTAATTTGGAGAATGCATTCCGGTGGCTGAGCTCATATGCTGACTTTGCAATTTTTCAGAATCCGAAAGACAATTGATCGATACCGTAAATCTGCAAATGATGCGGATACATACCAGGCCAAAATGGAACAACATATTCTGGTCAGTGCTCTATCCTTTCCATGATGCTACATTAGGTGCATTCATAAGAATTTCACTGGGATTCTCGGTTTAATTAAACAAGTTATCACATTTGTTAGGCCCAAGAAGTCGATAATGTGGGACTAGTAATGTTTCAAGCATTTATGCACAATTTGTTGGAGTCAAGCAAGTTGAGCACTTAGCTATTTATTTATTTAGATGTATAAAAGAAAGCAACTTCCTGCTTTTTTTGGTGTGGGTTAACATATTACATCACAGTACATAATTTTTTTCCATAGGACTTACGAAAAACAGACTTATTTAACATTCGAACACAGAAGGTTGAAAATCTTATTTTCCCCAGCAATCATATAGTATAGACATGAGCGTTCATCAAGAGTCGCCTCATATGCAGAGAATCGTGCATACATATACATGTGTGCACGATTTAAAGGAATCACTAGAACCACAAAGTAGGAATCGTGCAAATGATGATGATATAGTTGAAAAAAGAGAGATAGAGTCGTGTAACATTCAATTACTGAATAAATCTTTCAGATGATAAATCTTCTTTCAATGAGAAGGGCGCACGCAGATATATATATATATATATATATATATATATATATATATATATGTGTGTGTGTGTGTGTGTGTGTGTGTGTGTCAATTACTGAATAAATCTTTCAGATGATAAATCTTCTTTCAATGAGAAGGGCGCACGCATATATATATATATATATGTGTGTGTGTGTGTGTGTGTGTGTGTGTGTGCGGGCGCGCGCGCGCGCATGCGTGCGCCACAAAGTAGGAATCGTGCTAATGATGATGATATAGTTGAAAAAAGAGAGATAGAGTCGTGTAACATTCAATTACTGAATAAATCTTTCAGATGATAAATCTTCTTTCAATGAGAAGGGCGCGTGTGCGCGCACGCAGATATATATATGTGTGTGTGTGTTTGTTGCAGATAAACTTATATTGTCCCAAATCAATTATTGCATTTCCTTTAAATCAAATCAAGTGAAACTGTAGAATGAAGAAATAGCTACCTTCATGAGAGTGACAGCTATTGTTGGTGTGTGTGTGTGTGTGTTGCAGATAAACTTATATTGTCCCAAATCAATTATTGCATTTCCTTTAAATCAATTCAAGTGAAACTGTAGAATGAAGAAATAGCTACCTTCATGAGAGTGACAGCTATTGTCTTCACATACTGACTTACCTGTCAAATGCTAAATCTAAAATTATAACAGGCTCGATAGAATTAAGCTGAGGAAAGGTTTTGCGTCATTTTTTCTCATTCTTCATGTTTAAAAAAAAATATCTCTTTAATTTATTATATATCTAATTCACAATTTGCAACTTGCAAGGGACTAGTTTACAACCTTTATTCTACTAAACTTCTAAATAAATACAGAAAATTTTGGATCATGAACCTTCCTATTTCGTGCAGATCAAAAACTTTTTCTATTTGAATCTCTTTAAAACTTCACTTTCCTAATTCTTTTGTTTGATGAAGATGCTTCTTTGTGTGGTTTATATGCATTGCAAGAGATGAAAAGAGATGATCTCAATTCTCAATGTGTTTCTTCAAACATTTGATTCAATTCCAATTTGATATCAATATGATCTTTTGGGTTATTTGAGTTGTGGATTTTCACAACATCCATCTTCACCAAAGCTCGGTAAAAACATCAATATTTTAAATATCAACTCAGTAAATCCTTTTGTCTGCATCAACAGTGTGTCTCTATTGATGAAAACACTAAAATGGTAGGCATTCATGGCTACATCTTTTGGCTGAGTCATAGCAGTACGCGTTTCAGTTTGAAAAATTGCACGTTCACAATGTTAAATACATATATAGGATGCACGTGCTTTGGTACATGAGCGATGCTTCATGGTTCTCAAGCATGAGGAATGCTGGGGATACTCTCTACATTGGTTTACTAAGCAATGTGGCATTGCGTGAGTGTTAGTTAAGTTAGTAAACTCTTTAAGTACCTAATCAGGAATCTACGTCATTGCTTAGTAAACAAATTTAGGAGACGAGTCTTAATATGTCGAGAATTATTCTTTAAGTATGCATAATCTCTCATGAACTCAATTCTAGAAAACTCATCCAAATTTTACAATTTAAGGCAAAAGTCAAGTATCTCATAAGAAATGTTAGTCTAGTACAGGAGGGAATAATTTAAGAGAGCCATCAAAGCCGTGCTATCAAAGTGCTGTTATGGTTAGATAAAGGACTTGCATTATAATTGCAAGCCATACCACTCTTATTCATGGGATTTGGCAATGACTGGGAAGAAGAGAGGAGAAACTGCTGATATATATACAGACAAATAGGTTTCAAGTTAATTAATACCTTAAAAAAGCTATTTTGATCTTTGTACCTGTCCACAGGACATTAACTGGTCCTCTAAAATGCTTTCAGCTTCTGAAATCCTTCTCATCATCCACCACTTGATACCTCGAAAACACACCCTCCATGGGCATTTAAATCTTATTGTTTTCTTGAAGGAAGTTTTAAAAGTGATTGTTGGTGTGAACCAATATATATATGTATTAGTAGATTGTAATAATATACCACCGTGTTCTTGATAAGAACCCTATTCTTGATCTCAAGAATTACTGAGGTGGTGAGCCATAGAATCAACTATGGTTTAGATTGTCCAGCGACAAATTTTGCAAGTACATTAGGGTGGTTGTAGTAGCAATCTTAGTTTTGCAAGATCCTGTGGTGTTACATATTCGCTCACTCTTATCGGTTTTATCCGTTGCATGATTTCACATATGTTCAGTTTGTATTGCTCTGTTCACTGGATACATAAATATCACAATCTCCGTAAATGCGCAGCATCTGAAGCATGAAACCATGGATATGGAGAGGAAGATTGAGCTTCTTGAAGTTTCTCTACGGTCCACAAATTTTGAGACTTCTCTCTTATAAATTGTGGATTGAAATGGGTTCCTCATATCTAATTCCCTAAACTTTGGTACTTTTCTTTTTCTCATCAGGAAGCTATCAGGACAATGTCTTGGATCTTGTTTGATCGACGAAATCCAAATGATAGGGGATCAGCTCGAGCGAAGTTTGAGCAGCGTTAGGGCGAGAAAGGTACATGCCTCTTTGGCATAGTTGTCCTTTTCTCTGTGCCTAGAGATGTTTTGAAAGCTTTTCATCAAGTAGCCGCTGTGTTTGGAGGCATGGAGATGGTGAGAAGTGAAAGAAAACAAGGAGAAACAATTTCCCTCAAACGACTAACAAGACTGATAATGAATACAGGAACCGAAACACCAATTTCAATAGAGACTGCAATTGCATTGTAAGATTAAAACTGAATAGACTAAACACGTCAAACTTGGAAAGGAATGAAAGCACATTCATAAATCAACCTTTTTCTTCATTGTTGTTGACCAGTTCTCTTTTTCCAATATACAAGGAAAGGATCAGGGTTATTTTTTTATCGTTATTTTCTCCTAGACTTATTTGGATGATTCTATTGTTCTTTTTCCAAAAAAATTGGATGTTTTTTCAAGCCGGTAAACTTTTAAAAGAGTATGTGACAATAAAACTGTGATAAAAAAAAAAGAGTATCCTGTTACTTGATTCCTAATCAACCCATTAGCAACTTACCATAACTTTTATGAAATCACCAACTCCATTTGACAATGTATTTTGACAATGTACTAGAGTTATTTGGATGACTCTATTGTTCCTTTTCCAAAAAAAAGGGTGTTTTTCATGTTGTACATGACAGTAAAACTATGATAAAAAAAAGTTTGTGGTTACTTGATTCCTAAGTAACTTTGTGGCAACTTACGTACACTTATATGAAATCACCAACTCCTTTTGAGAATGTGCAAATTATCAATTTTTCTTAATTTTTCTTAATTTTTATTAATTTTTTCTTACCATTCCTATAAATTTAATAGCTTTTATATAAATTTACCAATATTTATTTAAATGACTTGCCGAATTATTTTTCAATTACATTATTTACTCTTTTTGGTTTACCAAGTTTCGTGTGAGTTATTTACCAACGTTTATTTGATTTTTTTTTATTTATCAACTTTTGTTATCGGTTAACAACATTTTTTTTTTGGTAAGGGGTTAACAACATTTTTTTGTCTTTCTTAAATCCAATTTTAGAAGTCTCTTTTATGAATTCACCAAATTTTCTCTCATTAGGTTAATGATTAGTTTTGATTTACAATTTAACGACATTTATTTGGTTTTTTTAAATAATTACGTAATATTCTTTTTAGTTACCAATTTTTATTTACCTAACTTACAAACCCAACTAGAAATTACCAATCTTAATCACATAGCAATTACCAAATTTTCTACATTTAAGTTATCAACTATTCTATGTCATCAACTCTTATTTGATTAGTTACGAAGTTTATTTGGTTTTGTTAAATGACTAACTTCTTTTATCTTTGACCCAAAAAAAAAAATTGTGTCATCTTTCACCAACTTTTTATTTACTTTTCCTACCAACACCTTAAATTTACCAACTATTACATGAAATGGGTAATGACTCCTTGCACTTTTGCTCAATATTCAATCTAGACCTTGAACTTTTTTTCTTTTGTCTTATGTAAACTGTATACTTTTTAAAATTGGTGCAATGTGATCCTTCCGTTAAATAGACTAACAAAAACTGCTAATGTGGCACTTGAGGGGGAAAAGTGCCAAAAAAGTCCTAAACCTTTTGCATTAGTGCCAATTTAGTCCTAAACTTTTTTTTGGTGCCAATTCAGTCATAAACCTTTTGCATTGGTGCGAATTTAGTCCTAAACCTTTTTTTGGTGCCAATTAAGTCCTAAACCTTTAAATTGGTGCCAATTCAGTCCTAAACCTTTTGTTTTTGTGCCAATTTAGTCCTTCCGGTCAATTTTGACCGGAATTTGCCGACGTGGACGCTTGCCGGCCGGCGGTTGGTCACCGGCGCCGACGTGGCGCTGACGTGGACAACTTTAATAATATTTTAATATTTTTTTGAATATTTATTTTTTTTCCTTTTTTTAAATTTTTTTTTCCACTTTTTTTTTTGCCCTCCCCTCCTTCCTCTGGTCGGTCGCCGGTCCGACGACCGGCCAGAGGCCAGAGGCCAGCGAGCTCGACCTCGCCAGCCACTGGCGACGGCTGCGGCCTCGCCAGATCCGGCGAGGTCGAGCCTCGCCCGACCAAGGCGAGGCTCGAGCCCTCGCCGGAGGCCGCGAGGCGAGGCGAGCCGCCATGAGCCGGGCGAGGCCCGACCTCGCCGGATCTGGCGAGGTCGAGCCTCGCCCGACCAAGGCGAGGCTCGACCTCGCCAGATCCGGCAAGGTCGGGCCTTGCCCGACCATGGCGAGGCTCGCCCTCGCCGGGCGAGGCCGCCGCCGTCGCCAGAGGCCGGCGAGTCACCGGCCAGAGGAAGGAGGGGGGGACCAAAAAAAAAAGTGGAAAAAAAAAAGAAAAAAAAGGAAAAAAAATAAAAATTCAAAAAAATATTAAAATATTATTAAAGTTGTCCACGTAAGCGCCACGTCGGCTCCGGTGACTGGCCGCCGGTCGGCAGGCGTCCACGTCGGCAAATCCCTGTCAAAATTGACCGGAAGGACTAAATTGGCGCAAAAAACAAAAGGTTTAGGACTGAATTGGCACCAATTTAAAAGGTTTAGGACTTAATTGGCACAAAAAAAAAGTTTAGGACTAAATTGGCACCAATGCAAAAGGTTTAGGACTGAATTGGCACCAAAAAAAGGTTTAGGACTAAATTGGCACTAATGCAAAAGGTTTAGGACTTTTTTGGCACTTTTCCCGCACTTGAGGCAACCAACCATGTCCAAGTTGGCATCTGACTTGTCAATCGGACGTCCAGAAAAGTTGATAATCACTTAAATTAAAGTTAGTGATTTCATATTAGAGTTGGCAAGAAATAACTCAATTGGACAGAGAATAGCAAGTTTTATGATTTAAATGCATGAAATGAAAGTCTTATGACTCAAATGCATGACGTTGACAAGTTTTAGAACTTGCCCTATAATCATTCTAAAGTATAGTAACCCAAAACTAGTTGGTAATTTCGTTGGAGAAAAGCTCGTAAGTGATTTTAATTAAGGCTAGTAATTTTTTAAAAGAGTTGGTAAATTTAAGGCATTGCTAAGAAATGCAAATGAATGTTTATTAATGAGAAGAAAGTTGGCAAATTAAAAAAATCCAAGTAAGTATCATTAAATAACTAAAAAAAAAAGTCGGTGGCTCCACAATATGAGGTAAAAATTGGTAATCACGCTAATTTAGGTGAGTAATCTCTAGATACAAGTTCGTAATTCAATATAAAAGTTGGTAAAATTAAAAAAAAAAGTTTAGCAAGTAAGTCAAATGAAAATTGATAATGTAAAAGCTAGTTGGTAATTTAATTTGACAAAAGTTAATAAGTTTCTATAATTTAGATTGGTAATTTCACATAAACTCAAAGTGTTAATAAGTTATGAAAATAAAGATTGATAAATTAGTACAAAATTTGGTATTTTATGAAAGTATTGGTGATTTACTAGTAACTTGCCTTAAAAAAATTCACCAGTTATTTTAACCAATAGTTTCTTGACACTTATTAACACTAGTTCAAACTAGCCAACATGAAGAAAAATCCCTATTCTTTGTCATGGAATAATAGAATTCAGCAAGTGATTTTAGTTCATTAACGTCGGTGATTTCTGTCTACAACTTCTCTCTCGAACTGTGTTTCTGGACAAGTTGCAAACCATTGTCCTTCTCAACTTATTTTCTCATTTTTTTTTCCTTTTACTAAGAAAGGTATGTGGACAACATGCACACACACGAAAGTTAAAATGCATGGGTCTCTTTTACAGGCTCAATTATTCAACGATCAGATACAGCAGTTACAAGCAAAGGTAAGTATTGGAATATGATGAATGCATGTCCGATCTCATCAGGTATTGTTAAATTCCTGGTTATATTAATCTAGCAACTTTGTTTGGTGTAATTCAGGAGAGGTCTCTGAAGGAAGAGAATGCAAAGCTTCTTGCAAAGGTGAACCCTTTTTCTCATCTATGCTTTTATTGCCTACCTATTACTTGCCATGCATCATCACTCTTCTGTGAATAAATTAACCACTTTCCACAAACTTGTGAAACCTACATTAGAATCTCTCAATCAATTTCATGTATGATCTAGTAGCGTAGTTTATGATGTGCTAAGACCAGAGAGAGGTCTTCAATGATTAAGAATGGGTTTTGTCTAATAGGCTTGTGTAGTGAAGAAGCTTGTTGCTTTTGTCCATCAAACCAATATTAGTAAATTATGTGCTGCACAGTTAATGTACTGGTTAAATGTGCTGGTCATCAGTTTGTCTTGCTCTCTATTAGTCCTGGTGTTAAAACCATTAAAGAGTACTGCAACATGATCAGTTTCTTTGAAAAGGACAATGCATAAGGAGAGATGCTTAATTTTAGGGTTCTGTACTGGTATTTTTATTGAACCTTTCTTTATTTGCAAGAAGTTTTGTTTTTTGATAGCACAAGTTAAAATGAGCAGATATGTTGAACATCACCAAAGAATTTTATGATCTTTGAGACCGTATGATCTGCTTGAAAAGTTATTACTTGCACTAAGCTACGAATCCATGTTGAGAAAATTACCACCGCATTGAGAAATTTATTGTCGCGAGATACAATTCTACTTTCCTTTTTTACATGGAACTGTAAACAAACTCAAATCTCTCTTTGTTCTTCTATGGTGCCGCACTTGATCTGTTGAGAAAGTGATTGACTCCATAATAGAAGTTACTAATACAGATTTGGTAACTCGTGTTGGAAAACAAATATTAGGGAAATTACGATCATGAGATGCGATTATGTGTATGGGACTGTAGGATTGTAGACGGACCCAAATCTCTGTCTTTCTTTGATCCGGTGACCATTAGTTGATTTGCTTGGAAAGTTACTGACTTGAAAAAAAAAAAAGGTTACTAGCACTAAGTCAGCGACCTGCGTTGTGAAATATCGCCATGTTGAGAATATTGTTTTCAAGAAAAAATATATCGTGTTTTCCAACTGGGGACTATAGACAGATCCAAAGTTCTTAATGATCACATTTGGCATACCTAATCATTTTTCAAGCTTTTTTTGCTTTTTCTCTTCTTTTGTCTTTTTTAGAAGGGAAGAGAGAACCACTTCTGTAGTTAGCTGTTGGGAAATATTGAATTTTCCTAGTGAAAATGTAGGAAAGTAATTACCAATATGGTAATAAAAATCAGGAGCACAAAGTTTCTGAGTAATTAATGTAGAAAAAAGTACTACCCAACTTACTATCATCGGGTACAATTCTTTGTTTCTAACATGGGATTGTAGAAGGACTAAAAGTTCCTGTGTCTTTCTATGATTTTGTAACCATTAATTAATCTGTTAAGAAAATACTAACTTGATAACAAAAACTACCCCTGTTGAAAAAATTACAACAACATAGAGGATATTAGTATCACGTTATACTAGTCTGTACTTTAAACATGGACTATAGGTGGAACCAAAGTTTTTAGTTATGTCTGGTGTAGCTAACCACTTTTAGAGTTTTTTTCTGGCATCGTAGGAGAGAACCTCCTCTTGAGTCAGATGTTGGGAAAAATTGAAATTTCCCAGTGACTATTTATAGATCTGGGTGCATAGACAGATGCTTGCATCACATAATTTAGATCCAGTGAAAGGCTTCTTCAATGCCAGTAAATCTAAAGTTGAGTTTGAGCTTTTTCCCATTTTAATTTAGTGAAGGTTTCTAGGTCCCCCATCATCATTCAATTGCATTTGTTATTTCATTTATTTGACAGAACGTTTTGCGTCCTTTCTTCCAATATCAGTGCCATGAAAATCCTTGGCAATCAACAGCTCATCCGAGAGCAGCAGCATTACATAGCCGGAGCAGCCAGAGTGCAGATGTTGAGACCGGGTTGTCCATCGGATTGCCGGAGAGTTAAACCGATTCGCCATCACCCAACACAAGTCTAAAAATACCTGTTCAATAGAATATAATAAGAATCACCGCAATGTTGTTCAGTGATATCTTTACTTAGCTGAATTCTCCCTAGTGCTGTCACGACAACATAGACATGGGATTCATGGTAGTCATTTCAAAAATCTGCGAGTAAGAATAGCATAGGCAAAGGATGATCAGATCAGAAATGAGCAATGACAAGGACAGCTTGTGTGCATTTCAACATCATTGGCCACCTCTTTAAGGTTGGCTAAGCCAAAAAAAAGTTCGTCTATCACCCTATTAGAGGTTCAACTTTTTTCATCTGACAAAAGTTAGTTTACGTGTAAACTCATGAGTGATGACATGTTTCCTACGCGATGCCTTTGGAGGGACAGACATTTAAGGATACAAAGTGACATATGAGATGACCAATATGTACAGTGCATCTGCTTAGCAGTTAATGAGAAGATATTCAAATAAATAAGAAAAGGGAATAAAATCTATGTATAAGCTTTCTATTTTTCCCTTTATTTTCCTTTTTCGTGACAGAAAACCTATGGACAAGCTTGGATTAGAAAGACAACAGGCCCCTGTCCCTTGTCACTTGTCAGGAATGAATTTACATGGGTCTACATCAAGATCCATGGCCAGCTTGTCAGCTATAATCCATACTAATGTGATTTTTTTGATAAAGCAGCATACTACAGTACACAATAATTCCTTTTCTTAATACGAGAACGTCTTGGATGAGTCAATCCCATGCCAAGAAAAGTACCTTAGGATGGGCATAGTAATGATTCTGTGCACAGGAACTGATTCTGCTCAGAAATGATTCTTTTTTATTCCGTGCCTGAGAATAATTTATAAGCATTTGAAGGCGTTTGGTAACTGCCCAAAATTTCTATTCTTAGAATAGAAAAAGAACATAAATGTATTTGGTAACTACACAAAATTTCTTTTTATTAATAATATTTTAATAATATTTTGAATTTTCTAATATTTCTTTCTTTCTTTTTCTTTCTTTCCCTTCCCTTCCTTGGCCATGGCCGGTCGCCGGCGCTGGCGACCAGCCATAGGCCAAGGCCGGCGAGGGCATCGCGGCCCTCACCGCCGGCCTCGTCGGTCGCCGAGGAGGTCGGCCTCGCCAGATCTGGGTGAGGTCGAGCCTCCCCCAGCCAAGGCAAGGCCGACCTCGCCATCGCGACCCATCTTCCTATCGAGGCTGCGACCCATCTCCCTCATCTGGGTCGCGACGGCGAGGCCTCGCCGTCGAGGCCGCGAGCCGCCCTCGCCGGCCACCGCCAAGGGCCACGATGCCCTCGCCGGCCAATTGTCGACGGCAGACCAGGAAGAAGAAGCGAAGAACAAACCAAGTAAGAGAAGGAAGAAAACCAAGAAGAATCAGAAATGGAAAAATTGTTCCTAGAATCAAGAAGTTACTTTTTTTTGCTTCTTGATTCTGTTCCAAAATTTATTCTAGAAACAATTTTTTGCAAATTTGTGCTCGGGAACAAAAAATTAAACAAACGGATTCTGGGAACAAAAGAACATAAATTTTCACTATTTGGCAACTTGCCAAACGGGCCCTTAGTATCCTCGTAAATAATAAAAAGGGATTTTGCGCATCGAATAAACCCATGAAAGTGGCATATGGAAAATGTAACAGCCCGAATTTCGACGTAATTCCGGGATCAATAAAATTGACAATATTTCGCATTTCATTTTAGTAAGTCTCGCCCAGAGCTGATCACTCTCGGGATATTAACCAATGAGGTATGGCTAACTAGGAAACGGTACGTGGACTAGGGACTCGACAGTGAAAAGGACACCGATCTCGAGATACGATGAGTGAATATTTTGGGCCAACGTGGTCCGATCTTAGGAAAGGTGATGGATTTGGTTTGGCCAAGGCCAACGATGTACAATCAGATCGCAGGTGATTCAGCAAGACCGAAAGTGTATGTGGCCAACCAGTCCTGAACCTGAACCGAACGATCGTGATCTTTGGAACTAATGATAATTTCTCATTCTCTCAATAATCGGGACCGTCGTAATTCGAATAACCCTAGGTCGATACGCGTATGTCCTAAACAGCCGCCCGTTAGCCAGAGACCCTGAAATTGAAACTCGAGCGAGTTTTGATCACGAAATTGGGCCCGGATTTCGATGCCAATTTTCGAAGGCTTAAGAGACTATTTTTGGGAATCTGACGTCGTATTACGTTGGCCACACACGTTTGGAGTTAGTACGAGTAAAAAGTGAAATTTCGGTCCGGGGGTGAAAAATTACGGTTTAGCCCCTGTGGGCACCGAGGCTGGATTCGGAGGCCGTTTGAGGTTATTTTTCGCGGCCAAGGTCATTTTGGGGTGGCCACGCACATTTAAAGTGGTTTTGGCCAAAAATTGGAATTTCGACAAAAATTGGAAAAATAATATTATTTTATTCCCGAAACTTCGCAGTCGATTTTCAAGGGCTTAGAAAGTGAATTTCGCGAATCCAACGCCATATTATGTTGGCCACGCACATATGGAACACGTATGTGTGAAAATTGGAATTTCACCCCGGGACCGGAAAAATTACGGTTTTGCTCCTGGGCCGTTTTCGGGTCCGAATTTTTGGGAAATTTTTGGGATAAGTAACTGTGGTTATCAGCTGCATTATTGGACCGAAAGACCCAATTGCCCCTCAATTATTTAAGCCTATCTCTTTAGAACCGTTAGATTAGGGGTGTTTTTGTCAAATCGCGCGGATCGGCGACACGTGACGCCGCTTGGCTGCCATGTTTGACCATATAAGACTCTCTCTCTCTCTCCTCTCACCCTCACTCTCGGCAGAACACCCCCAGCAGCCCCTCACCAGCTCTTTCTCTCCCATTTTCTCTCTTTTCGTCTCTTGTTTGGCCTTGCCGGAGCTCGCCGCCGGCCACCGGAGCGCCGCCGCCGGCCGCCGTGCCTCGCCGTCGACCACCTTAGCCCCCAGCCTGAGCCTCGCCTCCGTCCGACCCCTTTCCCTCTCTTTTTCCCTCTCTTTTTCTCTCTTTTTCTCTCCCGGTTTAGCACCGCCGCCGCGTCGGAGTCTCGCCGGAGCTTCGCCGGAGCTCGGATCGCCGGAGCTCGGATCGCCGTTCCGTCGCCACCCAGCCGTCCAGCCTCACCGTACGACGCCGACCGTCACCGTCCCCGTACGGTGTCCGTACGGTCGGTACTGTAGCGTCCGTACCCGCCGCTGTCCGTACGCCCCGCCGTGCCGTCACCGCCACTTCGCCGGCCACCGTTTTCCGCCCGTCCGTACAAGTCCGTACCGCGTGAACAATACGCGTGAACAGTACGCCGTGAACAGTGCCGCGTGAACAGTACGCGCGCCTGGAATTCCGCCGCCGGTTTCACTGTTCATCAGTGATCGGCCGCCGCTCCCCGTCGCCGTGATCCAGAAATTAAGTGAGTAAAATCCCTAAACCCGGATTAGGACTGTTAGTGCTTTTTTCTGGACTGGTTTAGGTATTATCGGTACAATTTGGACTGGCTTAGATAGTATCAGTGTGTATTTCAGACTGGGTTGAGGACGGATTGGTAGAAATTATCATTTGGAAATTTAGTGGATTAATGAGAATTATTTGGGGAGATCAATTGGATTAAATGACTAATTTAGGAGCCCGTTGGAAAATTACCGGGTATGTCCGGGTTGACTGATTGTACGTCAATTGTGCTTAATTGTGGTTAATTTCGTACTGCTATGTCGTATGTGGTGTGGCTGATTTTATGGAGTGCGATTGGCTATTGTTTGGTTTACAATGATTTACTGATTTGTGAATCGCACGTTAGGCCACACGGTATTAATTGGGCCAATTAAGCACGTGTTGTGACATTGGGTGTTTGAATTATATTGGTGCTCGTGGAGCATTGAATTGCATAACATAGACACGCATTGCGTATGCCAAGAGTGAAGCATGTGATGAACTTGCGTGAGAATGCGTGTCTGCCATGAGCATGTGATCACCTAAAATACCCTGAAGCGTTATACGCTGGGTTCAGATAATAATGAGTTGTGTGATCACCTAAGGACCTTTGGGTCATGACCTTCGGGTCGATACCGTCCTCATGCACTTTGAAGCAGGACGATGCCCGGTACGTCCGGAAGGCGACCATCCTCATGCACTTTGAAGCAGGCTCTGGTTCGCAAGGAGAACAGTGTTGCGCCTCATGCACTTTGAAGCGAGGCTAGAGACACCGGGCCGGATCGGTTCTTTGCGCCTCATGCACTTTGAAGCGGGCTAGACGCCCGGGCCGTGAATGTTGTTGACTCGAGTCGTAATAAATAATAAATTGGGCGATTGCCAGTGTGCCAGCGTGGGCCAGTGGGCCGGGAAATATACGTGACCTGTCGACGACATTTGCATGCATGAACATGCATGGACTAGCATGCGAAAGTGTGAAAATCGATGCATGAGCATGTGATTGGCGTACGTGTGATTATGCGTACCACGTATGTGCCGTGACTATTATATGTTGGTCCGTCTAACCTGCAGGGTCAGTGAACGGTTTGATTATTGTTGTATTGTGATTTAAATATTTGGTTCCGGTCAGGAGATTGCATGCTAGCCTAGCCTAGGTTTAGGGGTTGAACTCACTGAGATTCGTCTCACGGTTGTGTAAATCGAAACATTTCAGACCCCCAGCCGTAGGATGCCGAGGAGAGCGCCTCTTTTTGGTATACCGCAATTCATCCAACGGTCATCTAGTGTGCACCCTTGTGGGGATGGACCTGCAGCCATGGTCGAGGAAGTTGAGGAGCCCGAAGTGATATAAGCTGACCCCTTTTTACTAAGTGGCTGCTGACTGTGTGTTTTCTCGGCCGTTGTATAAATGAATTTTAGAAAAAGTTTCCTATGGTAATACTAGTATACATATTTTCAGAGGTGCTGTTTACTTAATGTACTACCTTGATCTCATGTGTTTTATTGTTAGGGTGTATATATATATTTATATACGTGCTTCTGCATGTGTTTGATCTCTGATTGGGCGTTGGGTCGGCGATGCTTCCTGGGAGCGTCGCACCAAAATTGACCGTGACGGGATGTTGCGTTCTAATGGGGTACGGGGCGTGACAGAAAAACAAGTCAATATTTGTCTAGTGTACTTTTAAATGCAAAATTTGTTAGGATGAATGTGATTGATCAAAATGACAAGCATCCCTTTTA